TTGGAAGCCACTGCCCGACTGTCCCTTGAGTTCCTAATGATGCTTCCTTATGTAGGCATGGGTGATCAAATTGCTTTGCACTGGGGACAAGCTTAACTTTCATTCTTGCTCTCCTCAGAGAGGTCGAAGACTGGAACCAAAATTTCTAGCCCTCTAATTGCATATCAGTCCCGGGGTGACTGGCCTCCATCTGAGACCAGGCAGGAGCCTCGTCGCCAGCTGGCTCACTGGCTACCACCAAGAACACACCTGTGGCTTTGGAGAGTTCCGGGATTCCGGTTCTATAATGACAGGAAAGGGAAAGAGAGAACTAAGTACACATCTTCTCACGCCTGTGTAGAGAGCACAGAACATTCTGGACAATCACAGTAGAAGACTTGGACAAATAGAAAGGGGTCCAACATTCTTGAAAATAAACACTTGATACACAAATAAAGAACTTTTCCCTTGAGTTGCTTTGTATCCTTAGGAAAACCCACTGTTTTCCTTTTCCCCTGGGACTAGACACATTCATCATCAAGCTAACCTGGTAGCCATGCAAGAATACTCAGGAAATACTGGAAAGTGTGATTGGAGGAGGTCCACCTATGATATCAAATGTTAAAGCAAACACAAGGCCTGTGGACCTAAGCATTGCCAGTGCTAAGCCTGGACAGGAGACAGACCAAAGGCACAGTGCACTCGGCCTCAATTGCATCTGAAAATCAAAAGACAGTAAAGGTGGTTTCCCTACAGACTGTCTGTAGTCTCCTCGCTGTCCCAGAATCTGGGAACAAACAATCAAAGTGCAGCACATATAGCATATGTATATATGTATATATATATATGTATATGTACCTATATGTGTGTATATATATACTCATATATACACATACATATGTGTGTATGTATATATTCATATATACACATACATGTGTGTGTGTGGATCTTGCTGCAGTGTCCCCTGGTGGCAGAAGCAGAAGACCCCACTTCCACAGGGAGTGAAGAAGAGGCACTCTTTAATACAAGGCTCTTTTACAACAGCATAACTGCCCAAAATTAAGCAAAGCAAAAGTGAGTATAAGTAGAAAAAATAACTGCGATTTACATCACAAAAGCTTATATGAAAGTAAACTCTAAAACTAAGAAAAATGGAAATAGATAAGCACTAATAAACAAGTTTTCAGAAGACGTTAAGATGTTCAAAGAACTTTTGGCCTGTAAAAAGACTGTCAACTTTACTAATAATAGATAAATGCAAATCAAACTTGCCCTCTAATACTGTTTCTCAACTCTGAGGTTGGTGAGGAGCCCAAACGTCATTGGCAATGCTCTGGGGAAAGGGCCACCATCGTGCCGTGTGAAAGGCTCAGGCCCATGGGGGAACTGAGCAATACCTCATAGAATTGCACATGTTTATCCTTTACCCTAGCAGTCCCAATTCCAGATACACTGGCAAATGCTCAAAGACAGATTGCAAAAGATACTAATTGCAGCTTTTTTTGTAATGGAAAAATTGGAAACAATTCAAATATTCTCCAATGGGCAGCTGGGTAAGTAGGGTTCTTTACACGTAAGGACTATTAAATGATTGTATAAAAGTTAAGAAACTTCTCCACAGGCTACTGTTTAATTATTTCTGGAATGTAGTATGTTGTGGTTTGGGTATGGTTTAATGTTTCCTAAAGCTTTATGTGCTGAAATTTAAGCGCCATCATGAGGCACGTACATCATGAGGGTAAAAACTTGATCTGCTGTGATGTTTAGGGGTGAAGCCTGTGGGAGCGACTTGGAATTAGACAATGTCATTGAGCCCCAGGAGTGAATCCTGGTGGCTAAATAAAAACAGAGAGATGGTTGCAGCTTGTCTCTAACCTAGCATGAATGAATATTTGATTTCATCTCTATGTGTAAATAGATGATGATAAATAGATGATAGGTAGGTAGATAGATAGATACATAGATACATAGATAGGTACATAGATAGATACAGAGAAAGAGAGACAGATGATAGATGTGTGTGCACACATGTGCATACATGAATGAATTTCATCTCTCCTCACATGATTCTCTGCATCTTCTGGGTTTGACTTGTGAGAATGCCGTCACCAAAACTTACTGTGTAGACCAGGCTGGCTTAGAATCTGCCCCTGAGTACTAGAGTAGTGTCTCTGTTCATGTCTCCATCTCTGTGTCTCTGTTCATGTCTCCATCTCTATGTCCATGTTCATGTCTCCATCTCTGTGTCTCTGTTCATGTCTCCATCTCTATGTCCATGTTCATGTCTCCATCTCTGTGTCCATGTTCATGTCTCCATCTCTGTGTCCATGTTCATGTCTCCATCTCTGTGTCTCTGTTCATGTCTCCATCTCTGTGTCTCTGTTCATGTCTCCATCTCTATGTCCATATTCATTTCTCCATCTCTGTGTCCATGTTCATGTCTCCATCTCTGTGTCCATGTTCATGTCTCCATCTCTGTGTCCATGTTCATGTCTCCATCTCTGTGTCCATGTTCATGTCTCCATCTCTATGTCCATGTTCATGTCTCCATCTCTATGTCCATGTTCATGTCTCCATCTCTGTGTCTCTCTTCATGTCTCCATCTCTATGTCCATGTTCATGTCTCCATCTCTGTGTCCATGTTCATGTCTCCATCTCTGTGTCCATGTGGTTAACCTTGATTGCCAGCCTGATGGGGCTTGGAATCACCCTTGAAACAAATGTCCAGGCATAGCTTTGAGAGTTCCAGATTTGGTTAATTGAGGTGGGAAGACCTAGTCTAAATGTGGCCAGCACCATTCATTCCATGGACAGAGGTTCTGAACTTTATGGCTGTGAATGCAATGTGGCCAGCTTCTTCAAGGTCTTGTCTCTATCCCTTCTCCACAGTGATGACTGTACCCTCCAATGTGCGCCAAAAGAAAGAAATCTTTCCTTCCTTTCTTCCTTCCTTGCTTCCTCCCCCCTCCCTCCCTTCCTTCTTTAAGTTGGCTTTTCTTGGGTATTTTGTCCTAGAAACATGTAAAGTAACTAATAAACTCTGTCTAATTCTCTCTCTGTTACAGATAGAGAGAGAAGCAATTTAAGAAAGTACAGTGTACATTTTTCCCTCATATCTCACTATGTAATTTCCAAGAACAAAAACATTCTCTTTCATGACAGCTTTCAAACACATGAATGTTGGTACTTTGTGGTCCATTTTCTGAATCCCAAGAATGTAGCTATTCTCCCAACACAAAACCATTGCCTTTAGCCTTCATACCACTTGGAGTAGTTTAATTTCGTAATTCATGGGTGCCACAACATGAACTCTTTACTCTTTCTTTTTGTTGTTTGTTTTTGAGACGGGTTTTTCTGTGTAGACCTAGATTTCTTGGAACTAGCTCTTGTAGACCAGGCAGGCCTTGAACTCACAGAGATCCACCTGCCTCTGCCTCTGGAGTTCTGGATTAAAGGTGGGTATCACAACCACCAGCCGACATGAACTCTTTAAAGATATGATATACTTGTTTCATAGATTCCTCAGTCTGGGTTTATCTAGTTTCTCTTTGTAAGTTAATGCAGTCCCCACAGTCCTGAATGAAGAAAACAAAATACTGTGCCCATCTCACTATGGAGACATACTGTGGACACCTGTATCTCACTAACAATGACAATCCTGACCCATGGTCAAAAATATACCCAGTTTCCCAGAACCTAGACTGAGAAACAACCTTTAAAGCCCTCCTATGCATTGTCTGCTAGACTGCAGAGCTTCTGGCAGGTCTCCCATCCAAACTCAGTGCTGTGTTTCACATTTTGGGAATCTGCATCCTATGTCTTTAACATACAAAGGAGGTACCATATAGTATAGTGTGTCCAGGTCCCTCAGTCAACACAGGCTGTATCTTAAAGCTCTGTCACCTTCAGATTATCAGCTGACAGGTTCCAGAGTCAACAATCTGTCATCAGGTATCTAGAACACAAGGGATTCTTTTTACTGCAGACAAGAATGTGTTTAGATCTCATGAATATAATCTGTTACCTGTAATGGGATTCTTCCTGCCAGCCTGGTCCCAGAGCCGTGTCAACCCCAAATAACACAGAAGACACTATATTAATTATGAAGCTGTTGGCCGTTTGCTATGGTTTCTTATTGGCTAGCTCTGACTTAACTATTAACCTATAATTACTAATATATATTTTTATAAGGTCTTATCTTACCCAGGACACAGCCTCATGCATCCTCTCTTCCCAGGATCACATGGCAACTCTCTACTCTTGACTACATTTCCCAGAATTTCTCATTTAAAAGAAATGTTCCCTTTAGGTTTGCATTTATGTAGATGGAGATTTCTGTCCCACCTGGTCCTGCAGCCCCTTAAGTCCCAAATAAACACACAGAGGCTTATATTAATTATAAACTGTTTGGCCAATGCCTCAGGTTTCTTATTGGCTAGCTCTCTCTTAATTATTAACCCATTTCTATTAATCTATGTGTGGCTTACCTGTAATGCTCTAGTATGTTACTCTTTGGCGGCTACATGGTGTCTCTCTCAAGATTCCTTGTGTACTCTTCCCAGAATTCTCCTCATTCAGTACCCCCTCCTATACCTCCTGCCTAGCTACTGGACAATCAGTGTTTATTCATCAACCAATAAGAGAAACATATATTCACAGCATACAGAAGGACATTCCCCATCACATCTCCTAATAGGGAGCTCTCGGGAGTTGCTTTGTAGTCAGTCCTGGTATATGGGACTTCATGAATACATTGATGGGGCTCAGACAGCCCTGTAAGTTAGACTCAGGGCATGTCCCGCATCCATGTAATTCTCTATCCCACAGCAAAACACAGTCTCGCTTCTGAGAGTTCCCCGGTCCCACAACCTCACTGGCATTGCTAAGATCCAGTCAAATCGTGAGCCTCAGCGAGAACTTCCTGCCAGGGTCTATTTGGAATCTTTGGTACAAGGTCCTAATGGGAATGTCACAGCAACTTCTCAAAATGCCCCTAGCTTATTGACCACCCTATGCTGCAGGTCCAGAGTGCCCAGCCACTAGTGGACACCCACCCACCACGGACTTACGGCCACCTCCATCTGAAGCTCAAGAAGCTGAAGGTAAGCGCCGCTTCCTCTTCTAACCACATCCCCAGCTTACAAGGTGATCAGCTCAGAGCCCCTGGACCGTGACTGGACAAGCTCTTTAGCCTTGTCAAAAGCAAGGTGTTACCTAAGAGGTCAAATGACTCCGCCCCGATAGAGCTGGTTGGTGACTGTATCAGAACCTCCCCTGATATTGCCTGGTAATGACACAGACACAGACAGATACCTTTAGGGCAATTTGCACAGTGGAGCTCCAGATAATTAATTAGCGTCATTCCTTTAAATTTTTTGACCACTTCCGGATTTGTATTTCTTGAAGTGTAGGCCATGGGTGAGAGTGGCCCACACACAGTCGTGCATGCAGAGATGCCCCAAGACAAACCAAAAGGGATGATGTTGACCACCTGAACACAGCTGAAGGGCAGCTGAGCAAACCAGTGAGCCAGTCCGTTTAAAACCTGAAAGCAGGCCTGAGTGGCCTCACTACTCTCATGGCAAGATGGGAAGGAAGGCAGGAGAGCCCCTGGGAGCTTGTGGGCCAAGGAATAGGGCCTATCGAACAGCCTCTCAAACAGAATAGACGTGCAGGTGGACAACTAAGGTTGCCCTCTGACCTCCACAGGCATGCTGAGGCACACGAACACACACACAGGCACATGTGCACACGCACGCACACATGGTGATGGAGGCTATAGTTATAATCTTTTCTTCCCTCTGGAATTGAGTGTACACTTGTGAGCAGCATAACATATCTCCTGAGATAATTCCCACACTAGCATGGCCCCCACGTGACTGTTTAACGGATGACTTAACTGCACACGATACTGTAGCTCCTTGCTGCTGAAGCGCCATCCCAGTGCATTCCAACCCAGAGATGGAGTGGTCACCCTGCTCTTGTCCCAGTGCCCAGGATTGTGGTGCACCCTGCTAGCTGCTGCTGACACCCCAAGGGAACCTACAGAGCGTGACTTTGAAAAAAGTATGCCTGGAGGAACCTTGTGCTATTGATAGACCCCTGTGCCCGCAGATGGAGGAAGAAAGACTCTCCATCATCGACAGAGAGAACCGCCTGCTTCTGCGGAGGGTAGCCTCTGCCATGAGAACCAGGGGGCAGATGGACAGCAGCAATAACGTCACATACAGAAGGTAACAGGAGGGCTCTGAGCATTTGCCTTGCCAGCTCCAGGTTAGGCCTGGGTTCAAGGGCAGGGGGCAGGGCCTGGTGAGACAGAGGACAGACACTCTTCCCTATCACAAGAGCCAAATTCAAAGTGCCCACGTGCTCCTGACCCCCAACCCTCCTTGAGGCTCTGAGGCATATCAAGGCGTAAGAATGGACCCAGAGTGACAGCTGCCCAGCCACATGCCTGCTGTGTGCCAGGCACTGTCCATAGGACCTTCCCAACCACCATCCTCACAAGGATCGGCAAAGTGGAGGCTGCAGAGCTTCTTGTTTCATAGTGGGGAAACTGAGGTACAGTGAAGCTGCACAACTTGGCCAAAATTGCCATCACTGCGGAGGGTGCAGGGTGTGTCCAAGTTGCAGGGCACCCCATGGTCTTGCAGCGTTAGATCCTTGCTTGGGAGCTCAGATCTGATGTCTAGGTGAGAGCATGGCTGTCCCCTTTATACAAGCATTGTTCTCTGAAACCTGTGGTGTCTTCCAGCTTAGAATTCTGCTTCCCAAGAGGATGAAGGGCAGCTCCCTGTTCCATGAATGCACCCTATGAACACTCTCATGAGTCCGTTGTCCTCCCTTCTGCAAAGAGCGGTGCTCCATCCTTGGTAGCTATATACCCTAGGAGACCTCTGTAGTCTCCCCCTTTGAGTGCAGAGTTGTGCTGGTGACCACACAGGGCCACAGTGATGCAGGCTTTCCTGCAGATGCGCGTGGACTCTTGAGTCCTTTAGAGCAGTTTCCAGACTTAGAATAAACTAAACCACAGGCAAGCACCGGGCACCCAAGCCACCAGCTCAGGGAGGAGAGACAGGTGTTGTGAACGGGGACACTCGTCTAGGAGATCCTGTCTGTTTCAAGGACACAGAAAACGACTTGAATTCGTATAAATACAGAAAGAAGCTGGCTAACTCCTTAGAAAGACACAAAAGCCAACACTTTGAGAGAAACTATACAGACAATAACTACAGATGTACTCATGACAACTTTTCTTCCTCGTTGAGATACATTTGGCACTTGGTAAACAATATCTTAGAGTGAAGGTATATGGTTTGATGGGTTTACTATGTCACATACTGAATCCATCTCTACAGTGAAGATGGTACCTGCAACCCTTGCTTCCAACTATTTTGGTGTCGTCAGGAATCCTCATGACAGCCAGGCCCTACAGGTTGCTTGGGATATGGTTGGCTCTGTTACTGTATGCCTGTTCTGCAGAATGGCATTGGCTTATTTTGTTGTTGTTGTTGTTGTTGCTTGGTTTTCAAAGACAGGGTCTCTATACAGCCCTGACTGTGCCTCCTAGGTGCTGGGATTAAAATGTGTGCCACCAGGCCTGACTTGATTGACATTGTTGAGGACATTGATGGGTCATTCTTGGGCTGCTGAGTGGCACTCTCTCCTTTGACCATACCCTGTTCATTCACCTATTCAAGAGCATTTTGGGTTGTCTTGGTTGTTACTAATAAGGTTACAATGATTATTTATGTTTGAAAAAAGACAACTTATACCTGTGTCTGCAGAGACCAACAACTCAATAGAAAATAAAGAATTCAATTAAGCCACCCAGAGAGGGACCCCCTGAAGGAAAAGGAGGGACCCTTGACCATGCACCCCAGCAAAATGGATGACAAGTATTACACAGACAAACAACAAAAGTCAACCATTTAAAGCAGAGGTTCTTAACCTGTGGGTCACGACCCATTTGGGGCTGAAGGACCCTTTCACAGGGGTCACATAACAGATATCCTGCATATCAGATATTTACATTGCGATTAGCAAATTTACATTATGATTAGCAAATTTAGCAAAACCACAGTTGTGAAGTAGCATTGAAATAATTTCATGGTTGGGGTCACCACTGCACGGGGAACTATATTAAAGGGTCACAGCATTAGGAAGGTTGAGAGCCACTGATCTAAAGGTTTTGTAAATTGTCATGAGGTCACATTCAGTAGAGAATATCTTATCTCAACAAGGGAGGAAGCTACTCTACCCCACCCTAAGCTGGTTCACACAAGACCACCTTGGGAGTTGTGCTGGAGCCGGGGTTGGTTCTAGGCCACACCGATCTCTCTAAAATATGCACCTGTTCCTGGTTTGAAGCATTTAGCACTTTCAAAACAGGTCAGTACCCTTATGCCTTGGGCTGCCATGCTTCCCCACATGACTGCTGGGCCTTCCTCCCCTTACTGTCAACCTTCTTTCAAGGCTCTATCCATCATTGCCTCCTGGCTGCCCCCACTCTCCCTTAGTGGTGTGACATCTTTACCTAGTGACCTCAGTGCCCACTCCCCCAGCGGACAGAAAGCATCCTAGCACATGGATGGAGAGAGACGGTTTGCTGAATGTTTCTCAGTGGGAAGCAGACGAGAGCCCTTTTGACATTACCCAGAGCCTACCAGGCCCAATGATACATGGGTTCCTTTTGTGAGTGTGGAGTGAGATTTCTGTTCCATAACTCTTGGTTGACGAAAGAATGTGTTTCTTCCTGTCCGGAGCCTAAACAGGAGGACTAGAGAACAGAAGTATATGAAAGCACAGAAACAAAACAAAGTCATCCTGGAAAGACTCCGAAGCTCAGAACCCAGCTGTGGAGCCCAGAGATGGTGGGAGGACCGGGCTGCCGTGGCCAGATGTCCCCGCAAATGCAGACGCACCCAGAGAAAAGGTACCTGTGGTTCTTGTAAATATACAACAATCTAATTCCTGACTTCATCAGACTCATCTCACATAGATTCACTGAGAACTATCTGGTGCCTTCTGTACACTTGTCGGTGACTAGATGTCTCAAGTCACAAAGGCATAAGGAAGCCTGGGCCACTCCCCCCCGGGAACTCACCCATCGATCAAAAATGAGTTCAGCTGATTGGTTACAGGTTCAGGAGCCAGGAAGAGTTTGGTGAAAATATAACTTGACCAGATAGCACATTTCAAAACTCCTATGTGACTACATTGAGTATCTGAATTAGCTATTCTACACAGAATCCAGGGCAAAATAAAACTACAACCTGGAAGAATTTTCTAGAAAAGTTATACTCTAAACACTTCGTCTTTGTCTAACCCAAATCACTGGCAAGTTCATAATTCTGAATGAAGAGCAATTTCAGTCATCATTATTCTTGCAAATGTCTCAATGGAATCAAAGTAATTGGGGTCTTACATTTTCACTCACTGTCCTTATCCATGATGCTGTTTTCAAAACCAAGTCTATTCTAGGGAAATGTGTAGATGTCAAGTTGATAATAAGTAGTCCAGGCCGGGCGGTGGTGGCGCATGCCTTTAATCCCAGCACTCGGGAGACAGAGGCAGGCGGATCTCTGTGAGTTCGAGGCTGGGCTGGACCGACAGCCTCCAAAACAATACAGAGAAACCCTGTCTCATAAAAAAAAAAAAAGTAGTCCAGGACATAAAGCCTTCCCTGATCAAGCACCAACCCAAAGATTCCGTCCCCTAGATGCCATTCCTGTGACACCTGGTCTTCTAGTCCCCACTGTCTACACAGGTACTGAACTTGGTTCCTATTATTTCTGGTCATATGGCCTTCCTATTATTTGCCTGGACATTTCTTCTAAATCCCTGAGGTATCGGGACCAGTATTGCAAAGATATACAGTAAGAAGCAGTTACTAAGTAGCAAAACACTAGGGAAATTTAGTTTGCTTTAAAATTTACATAGAAAACTTGAACATTTTGTTCTAAATCTTGATTTTAATTGCAGAGCATTGGCATTTGCTACTATAGAAAGTGAGACACTAACAGCATGGAAATGATTGATTATTAAGCAGTGTCCCTTCTCAGACATCTTAGAAGTGATCACTGGAGCCATCTGTGCGTATTTTTATTTATTATGTTTGTTCACGCAGACATGTTTTCTATAAACTGCCCATTTCAGTCAATCACATTTCATAGAAATCATTCAATGCCAGCACATAAGGGTCTTTTCTATCCCCCTTTTTAGCAGTTAGTATTTTTGTACATATATACCTTATTCATATAGTCCCCAAGTTACAAAAAATCTGATTCTTTTCATTATTCTAACTGAAACTGTGATAATCACCATAGTGCATGCGTATCTGTAACTTTAATTTCGAGATTAAAACTGTTCAATTGAACGATGGACCCAGTAGACATCACTAACTTACTGTCTAGAACATTCTAGGTGCTGCTCTCCATTCTGGGGACAGAGCTTTGTGTCTCTCATACTCTAGCTGACAATGGATGGTAGACAGTGTTTAAAATTTTTGGACTATGAATTTCTGTTCATATCCTTTCATCTAGTTCCCGTGGATGTTTCTTTAAGTTATTATCAATATTTCAGTACTTACCTTTTTTTCTAGTGTTATTGACACAAGTATTCCCTGTCCCATGCTGAACATTTCCCCTAGGCTTATATTTTAGTAGTAAAATCTGCCAAGTTTTTCTCTATGACTTCTCTTTAGTATTCTAAGAGTGTGACAGTGCTCTCCCATATTTTGTCTTTTGCTTTTTTGTTCTGTTTGTTTGTTTTCAAGACAGGGTTTCTCTGTCATGGCTGTCCTGGAACTCACTCTGTAGACCAGGCTGGCCTGGAACTCACAGAGATCCATCCGCCTGCCTCTGCCACCCAAGTGCTGGAATAACAGGCATGCATACTCTCCCTGGCTTCAAAGTTCATTTTTTCCAAATATATTGGAAGTTAAAAGAAAATAATGTTGGGTGGTGGTGGCAGCTTTAATCCCAGCACTCAAAAGGAAGATGCAGGTGGATCTCTGTGAATTTGAGGTCTACCGGCTAAGTTCTAGGATAGTCAGAACCACACAGAGAAACCCTGTCTCGAAAAACCAAAAATTAATTAATTTTTAAAAGCCCACTTAAAAAATTAGATTGCTACATTTTCCAGCCTTTATTTAAGTCTTATTCTTGACGTTTCTGTGTTGGCTTTATCTAAGGTAGCCTTTAAGGACAAAGATGAAGTTTGTATTTTAGCGGAATCCAGAGCTTTTACTTAGTAAATACTGCGTTTGCTCTCATTTCTGGTTCTCGGAGGTAACGGGTCTTTGTTTGCTTGGACTGTCTCAGACTGTTTCGCTCTCCCCACTTTATGGAAAAGGAAGTGAAAAGGTGACCGGAAAAGAAGATGCAGAGGTAGAGACAAAAGGGAAGGCTGTTCTGCTTGGAACCACCCACAGCACGCGCTCCATGTAGGATGTCGCCAGCCTTGCAGGGGCTCCTGGGGCCACTTCTTAAGGGCAACCCCCATGTCCTGTCCGACACTCAGCTCTGGGCCTACGGGGACTTTGTCAGTGGCTCTGGACCTTTCCTCTTCGTGAAAGGCAGGAAACAGCTGCGGCTGCCTTAGCCTGTGGTCTGGAGGCAGCTTCCTTCCGGGAGCCTTTCGGTCCATAATAGGCATTTCCAGGACCTTCTCTCTGTGTGTCCCCGGAGAGAGTGAGGAATCTAGGGCTCCAGGGCCGCAGACACCTTAGCCCTAAGCCTCTTCCCAGTTCTGGGGCGCCTAGCTCTTAGGTGACTTCGCTTTTTTCCCATTTATTTATTTGTTTTTTATGTATTTATTTTGGTTTTGGTTTTGTTTGGTTTGAGTCAGGGTCTTACCCTGTAGTCCTGGCTGGCTTGGAACTTAGTAGACCAGGCGACCTTTGAAGTCACAGAGATCTGCCTACCTTCGTTTCTCAAGTGCTAGGATTAAAGGCCTCATCCGATAGATGTCCCAGTTTTTTATAGCAGTAAAATAAAATACCATATAAGTAAAATTGTTCTCTGAAAACGGTAGGTGTAAAAGAGGAAAGGACTCCGTTTTATAGGATTAGAAACCCAAAATGCACCCTTCTGGCTGGCTAGCTTGATCTGAACTCCTGTTGGCCCTCTATAAACTGGACCTATCAAGAGCCTCTCATAGGCGTGCTGGAGAAGACCACCCTCTCCCAGCCAAGGCATCAACTTCTCCCTCAGACCTGCTTGCTTCCTAACTCCAGTGGAGCAAACACTGTGCTATTAGGAAGAAGATATCTATGAGCTCATCCAGTAAAAACCATTGGCCATCCTTCCTGGGGCCTGGGTTAGTGGAAGCACACAGCCTCTACAATACACACACACACGCACGCACACGCACACTCATAATGAGAAAACTAAACAAATGAACCACCCCTGCGTGGTGGAGCAGTAGACACGCTCCAAGTTCTTCAAGCCATCTCCCGGCAACAAAACATTTTAACTTCCACCCTTCTTCACCACGTGCTTCTATCACGAGTCAAAACTGGGGTGCAGATGACACCTAGAAACCAGCAGCCGGTTTGCTGACTCGGTGCAAGCAAAGACTCCACAGAGAAACCATCATCTGGCTACACAAGCATCCAGGGAAGATGTGTGGTGGCCAGTGTGCGCATGAAAAGATGTCCAGTGTTGCTGGAGAAGTAGGAGTCAATACCACAGTGAGACGCCCTTCACACTTGCTATACTGGCTGACGTGGCAGGTGACAGCACGTGCTTGGGAGGTGTGTGGAGAAACTGCAAGACGCAGCAGTGACGCACTTACCTTGACAGCACTTTGCTGGTTAGTGCGGAAAAAAATGAGACAGCAGTTCCACACCTAAGGAGAAAGGAGAATTGGAGCCACAAATACACATGAAACTATACACGCATAACTGTGTCTGGAACAGCATTATTAACAATAGCCAAGTGTCTATAACCTGATGAGTGAACAAATAAAATGAGGTCTATCTGCACAATAGAATACTATTTTGCCATAAAAACAATGAGTGCCACATCATGGAGCTTAAAGACATTGGTGAAAGAGGCCAATGCAGAGTGGAGCGTGTGTGAAATGCCCGGCAGGCAAATCCCAGTGGCGAAAAGACTGGTGGTCATTTGGAAATAGGGAGGGGAAACTGGGGGGAAATACTTGTGGAATATGGTTTGGGGAGAGTTGGTGATTAAAATGTTTCCAAATTCCACTGTAATTATAGCTGTACATACATTAATATATCCAAACCTCTAAGGTATCCACTTTAAAAGGTGGCTTTTAGATATACAGTTACTATATTTCAGTCAAGTCATTAAAAAAAAACACAAAGATAGGAGCCAGCACGGTGGCACACACTGGGAGGTGGAGGGTAGGATCTGGACTTAAAGGATAGCCTCAACTACATAGGAGGTTCAGGGGCGGCCTGGTCTACGCCAGGCCTTGTCTCAACAAACAAACAAAAAGCCAGACACAGCAACAAAAGACTATCTAGGACATTCTAAATAAAAGATTGTCAGTTGAAGTGTTCCACCCCCCCCCATGCATTCTAGAGGACTGGCATGTTTTCCTGCCTTGCCTAAGGAAGATGACTGTTGTAGCATTTTTGGTCCCACAGGAGCTGAAACTGACGCCCAGCAAGGACGCAACCTCATCTGGATGCCCGATTCCTAAGAAGCCCAATGCCTAGAAACACTGAGGAGGCCTTCCTGTGCTTTCCCTGGGAGGGGTGGGGATGGATGTGGGTGTGTGCAGGTCTTGGTGCTGGCGGCCTAGCATCTGAGGTCAAGCTGGCTCCTGTGTGCCTCCAGGGACAGCCGTGAGGCCTGTGACACAGCACCCTGGAGCTCTGTGGTCACGATGTTCGCCGGATGACACAGCACAGCTATTTATTGTGTTACTGGACTGATAACTAAAAACAAAACATGCAGAGTAATGCTGAAAGTGACCGGGTTTTGAATTAGACTTTCTTTTCCAGCTATTAATACATTTCCTGAGTTACCATGAGTTCGGGTGGTTGCCTGAAATTCCCCTAAAAACTCTGACTATCACTTTACCAAATATGTAAATAAATCAAATTGAGAACTTTAACCCAGATCTAGACTACATGACCCAAGAAGGGCCCAGCAAGTCTTGCAGAGGAGTGTCTAACAGTCCTCAGCCTGTGTGTTTTTCCTGTTTTCGGGTGAGATCATATTTAAGCTATTCTACATCAAGGAGCTGCTAGTCTTTCTGCCTCAAGAAGTAACTAAAAAACCCATGTATATTTTCACCTATTCATCCAGCAAAGTACTGTGGGGGTGGGGCCACTTAAGTGAGGAAGAGGCATGCTCCATGCAAGCTGGGGGCAGCCATTTCTGCAGAGACTTTGTTTAGTTACCTATTACTCTGTGTGTGTGCGCGCGAGCGCGTGCATGTGTGTGCACAAGCCCATTTCGTTTCTTTGTGCTCAAACCCTTTAATGTATATTTAAAGGTCAGAAGCAAGTCTAATGCTGGCTCCCTAGACTACGATAGAGCCTTCAGTACAGAACCTCAGGACCTTCAGTACAGAACCTCGGGGCCTTCAGTATGCCATACAAACACGTGGGACTTGGGGGCTGGAGAGATGGCTCAGAGGTTAAGAGCACTGGCTTCTCTTCCAGACAGAGGTCCTGAGCTCAATTCCCATCAACCACAACCATCTGCAGTGAGATCTGGTGCCCTCTCCTGGCATGTAGGCATATCTGCAGGCAGAACACTGTATACATAATAAATAATTTTTTTTTTTGGTTTTTCGAGACAGGGTTTCTCTGTATTGTTTTGGAGGCTGTCGGTCCAGCCTGGCCTCGAACTCACAGAGATCCGCCTGCCTCTGCCTCCCGAGTGCTGGGATTAAAGGCGTGCGCCACCACCGCCCAGCCAATAAATAAATTTTTTAAAAAATCATGGAACTTGGGGTCAGGTCAATATGTTGCTGGACATTATAAAACTTCTCATCAGAGCAGCAAGTACGGCTGGAGTCTGCCTCACGCACCATACACGTGGCCTGTAAAAAGAATTATACAAGGTTGACCGTTGTCTACAGCAGGACAAGGTCACAATAAAAATAATTATCTCATGTGGGCTGTGCAGTATACCTAGCCCCTTTGGCTGCCAATCAGGATGCTAAATGCGAGGAGACATTCTGGAAGTTCGATTGACTCAGCTGAGTGAAGAGCCCAGGCCTCCCAGGGCTCAGGCTGTGCACTTCCTTCCCCCTCCAGACATGCCTGTCACGCCCAAAAGAGAAGCAAGGACACCTATGAGCTGAAGTCTTGCCGTGCGGAGGGGACTCTGCAAAACAATCAAGCCTCAGGCTAGGGAGACGGCTCAGAGGTCCCAAGTTCAATTCCCAGCAACCACATGGTGGCTCTCAACCATCTGTAGTGGGATCTGGTGCCCTCTTCTGGCCTGTGAGTATAAACGCAGGCATAACGCTATATGTAATAAATAAATAAATAAATCTTTAAAAAAATATATAAAGCCTGGAAAGTACATAACACAGCTGGGCAGAGCCTAATGCACAAGATGGCAGGCACATTTGTCCTGCCTCGCACAGGCTCGGCAGCTCAAGAGGCCTCTTTCTGCCATGTGGCGCCATCTCTTGGTTTCTAGGGAGCAAGACGCTTCTCATAACAACTTGTCTATTTTCTTGAAGTTAACCATGGTATCTGATAAAAACACATGGTGGACACATGAAAACCACTTGCATAAGAGCCAAATTAGTTTTCAGGTAACCTACGAGTAGGAAACTACAGCTAACACTGTCCCTTAGAAGATGGATAAAGAGGGAAATAAAGCTAGCAGCGTTTTGGCAAGACCATAAAGAATACACCATTGAAGCCTGTCTTGATTTTCAGGTCTGGGATCTGGGTTTTGAAACGACCTTTTCTTGTCTGTGGTCTAGCCGAGCTCCTGCCTGAGGACAAGAGCAATGGTTGGAATCCAGCAGCCGCATGCAACAAAGATCTGAGAGCCCTCAAGAGGTCTTCAGAACATCCCAGACCATTGCTATTGCTCCTGGTCGCCCATCAGAACTTGGTGGTATGACCCCGTTGCTGAAGGCACTATGCACATTGGTCACATGACATGTAGAAATCTAGCTAGCACTGAGTTGGGAGCTTCCACCCTGCTGGTTAGCTTTCCTGGACCTAGAAGGTGCTGCGCAGGCTGCTGGGAGGGGCAAGCCGTCAACAATCTTACCCAGCGGTGAAGCTTGTGAGCTACAATAATGATTTGCCAGGCATGAGTGGCATGACCGTTCTAAGGGAAACCAACTGCTTTCTGATTGGATTGAGCATGCTCCCCAGGCTAGAACTTGTTCCAGGTACTATAGACCTTATCAGGAGCCTATGGTCAGGGAGGTCATAGGCCCCAGTAGGGAACCCACTGCCGCTGTTTTGTTAAACCGCCCTGTTTTCTTTTTTTTTTTTTTTTTTTTTTTTTTTTTTTTCGAGACAGGGTTTCTCTGTGGCTTTAGAGGCTGTCCTGGAACTCGCTTGGTAGTCCAGGCTGGTCTCGAACTCACAGAGATCCGCCTGCCTCTGCCTTCCGAGTGCTGGGATTAAAGGCGTGAGCCACCAACGCCCGGCAACCGCCCTGTTTTCAAACTGCCTTCTAAATATGGTTCTGTCTACAGGTTAGTGCTACACTCGTCCTTGACCAGAGATGTGTCTCACTGCAGTGGACCGCAAAAGTGCAGAGTAGGGATGACGGTGGAGTGCTTATCCCTAAACAGAATGTGTGTATCAATTAACTCCCAGGTTCAAGAGCGTATAGAAGAGCTACAAATAATATAAGAGCCACAGGGTGGGGAGATGCGCAGCAAAAAGGCATTTTTGGCCATGACCTAATTGCACTCATGAACTCACTATGGCTGTGGTTATCTACAGAAGACCTGCATGAGATTGGGCCAGGCAGCATTTAATCGCGGATAGGAAAGGGGCTCATGAGGCCCCAGCCTTCCCTTAAGGGGTATTGGAAATCTGTGGCCGCTGAGATTGTTTTCTTCTTCAGCTGTGTAGCTCCAGTGTGTAACTCGGCAAGTGTGCTAACTCAACCCAGGGGTTCAGGCACTAAGCTGCTCTCCGGGGCCCCATCATGCCTTCAAAGCCGGCACCACCTGGGGGCACTCTTACCCTAACTTCCAAGTTCGGCTGCCAGCATAAGATACAACCTTGGCTGCTCTGGAACACAGCTTCCGTGTGCTGACCCTCAGAAAACACTTCCCAAAAGATTTCACCAACGATGCTGGTCTCTTCTTAATCACTGCTAATTTCTCAGCTCCAGCCGACCAGCATCAAGTATCCAGCAAAGCAAAAGTTTCACTTTAGTAGTTCTGGTAACTTGCTAATCACAGTTGATTCTTCAGCCCCAACTGATCAGAACTTCAGAATCATAATTTGTAATTATAGTTTCAGTGGATCCAACATCCTTCTGGTCTCTGTGGCTATAGCGCACACATGGCGCACAGACAGACACAAAGGTGAAAGCACTCATATGCATAAAATAAAAATAAATAAATCTTTAAAAAAAAATAGAGCCCCTGCCATAGTTAGCACCAGCTGCCAGTTTGAAACAATCCGTAGTCACTGGGGAAGAGGGACTCTCAAGGAATTGCATGGATCAGATTGACTTCTGGGTAAGCCTGTGGAGCGTTTTCTTAATTGATGTGAGAGGGTTAATTTCACTGTGGGCTGTGCTACCACAGGGCAGGTAGTCTTGAGTGCTGTAAGAAACCAGGAGGAACAATCCAGCAAGCAGCACTCTCCTCCGGCCACTGTATCAGTTCCTGCCTCAAGTTCCTGCCCTAACTTCCCTTCGTGATGGCCTGTGATCAGGTCGTATAAGATGAAATAAACCCTTTTCTCCCCCACTTGCTTTTGATCACAATATTTCATCACATAGTGCTTTGTCATACGTCATATGGTTTAGAGGCCCCAACTAAGACATCCCATTAAATTGTTTTTGGTCATGGTGTTTATCACAGCAACAGAAAAACAATCTAAGATAAGTGCCCAAACACTTTTGGCATTTCTGGCCAGAATAGAAGCAAGGACCTTTTGGCCTTCTGGCCAAGGACCAGAACAGAACTGATGGTTTATAGGACCCTGCCCTAAAGCAGCCTGGCCAGTTTTTTATCTCCAGTTCTCATCACTGCCACTGAAAAGAAAAGAGATGTTAAATGCCAACTCAGGGAGCTCGATTTTCTTTTCCTGGAGGAAATGATCACTGTATGGATTTAGGTTGTCCAGAGAAATGAGAGGAAGGAGGTGGAGAAGAAGAGAGACTTATTAGAAGAAATTGGTTCACACAGTTTTGGATGTTGAGAAGCCCTGAGATCTATAGTTAGCCATGTGGAGACCCAGGAGAGCTATGATAGCTAACCTTGATTGTCAACTGGTTTGAATTTAGAATCGCCATGGAAACAAATCTCCGAGTGTGCTTGTGAAAATATTTCTAGAAAGACCCAAGTGACGAGGAAGGACTCATCCTGAACGTGGGTGGAACCATTCTACAGACTGGGTTCTTGGACTGACTAAAAAAAGAAAGTAGTAGGGGACTGGAGAAAAGGCTCAGCAGTTAAGAGC